AGTGTTAAAAGTGAGGAGACAAAAGTTTGTTTCCTATCAGTGCTGCTTTCAAAAACATTTGCACTCCTCACAATCACCACAGCACAAGATGGCCTCGCTTATCTCACACCTAGTAACTGAGGTAGTTGGTAGCTAATTGAGATATCTGTTTTCTGTATTCCTACCCAGCTCAGTTCAGCTGGAGGCAGTTTTCTGCCTTCACTAGTGTTTCTCACATAGAATCATGAAAAAGCAAATGCAATTTTGGATTAAGCTCAAATTGTTCCCTAATACATCAATCTCGTGAGGCAAATTTGGTTTTGTTCTGAAAAGGTGTTATTGAACTGACTATATAATTGGGTAGACTGCAACTTGATTCCACCTTTTAAAAATCCTATTTGAGGCACAAATTAAAGGATTTGGGGGCGGGTGGTGGAGGTGGAAATGGTGGTGTATTTGGATTCAGCAATCAAAGTTCCAAGTTCTGGTTACTTAGAAATGGTTTTCAGTCGTGACCGTGACCAGGATGGTGACTCACTTCACTTTACACTTTGGACTGGGCCTGATCAGGAATAACTCCCCTTTCACTGTTGAAAACTTCTCAATTTGTTCAATTTATGAATTTTAAAGGCATTTATTAAGTATCCCTCAGATCTTTCTTTGCCTTTGACAAAAATGAGCTATTGTTGTATAGAAAATAAAGTATAAAATATTAATTTTTCATATTCCACATAAAAATTTCCATGGTTCACATCTGAATTGTTTCCTTTGGGACTAACATAAGTGCAGGATTTACACAGCTTACTGTTGATGATTTCAATGAGGGAAAGGGGGAATATTAAACCTAGAACAAATAACTATTTCTTTGGAAAAGTTCAATTTCACTGAGATCAAATGATTTAGATTTTCCCTATTATTTAATTTTTTTTAAAGGAAACTACTCAAAATAATCTATTAATTACTTTTTAAAGTAAAGGCAACTGTTACGGGAAAGGCTGAGTTTAATTAATTAGATATTGTGCATAAGCATTACACTCCTGGGCAACTCTGAGAATTACCCTTTTATTCATAAAAATTAAAAAAACAAAAATTACGTCAACTAGTCAATTCTAGAATTACAGAAAACCCAAAGGTATCAAGAAAAAATAAATTAATTACACATTGCAATCAAGTACTAACTATATTTAGGGTTAACAGAGAATTAGTTGTAGATTGTCAGGATGAAGAACTTGCAGTATCTGACCTCATTCTTGGCTGGGGAGAACAATTTCTACCTCATCTAGACGTAAGATCTAATTGGATACAGATAAAATGGAATTGTTGATAGATCCAAAGAACCAGAATGAGAGCAGTTCTAGGATTTCAGTCTAAGGGCTTTGGGAATATGCAGAAGTCTACTGTTTTCCTAATCAGTGTTAGTCTGGCAGCCTGTGCAAATTCTTGGAGCACTGTAAACGGGAGTGAAACTGTCTCAACAGACCACGAAAATTAATGGAATACATGCAGCTGCCGCAGGGAAAGTAGAAAATCTCCAGCTGCCTATTGGAAAAAAAAGCGACTGCTTTTTTTTCTTCTTTTTTAAAAATGTATTTATTTATGCCTAACAGAACTGGGGAACAGGCCAGAGATGCAGGAGCAGTCAGAGGATTCACCAGAGACAGAGTGGGGAGCAGACCAGGCAGACTGACGAAATACACTGCTGAGGGGAGCAGTGGGTGGGTCAGGAGAAATCTCACATAGAATCATGACCCACGTCATGTGCGTCTCCTCCGGGGCGGGGATGGAACTCATGCTGAAGTGGCTTTAGCTTCTTAGTGCTGTGCTTTAACCCACTGTGCCAGGCGGGCCTCCGACTGCTCTTTTAAAACCGAGTAAAAATATTTATGTTACTTAAATCCACTACTTTTACCTTTTTCACGATGAACCATCTGTAGGTTATTCAACCTTTGGACAAAACTGTTTCTGGACACTAGATAGAGGACAAGTCACATACATCACTGCAACCCAGAGTGACTGAAAGCTGTTATTTGGGTAATACTCAGTGGCTTTCAGAATATTGTGTTGTTATTTGTTAGACCCTTAATACCCTCATCTTGGAAAGGTAGAGAAGCCCAACCCTGAATAGGACTGTCACTCACAGCCACGAGGCTAACACGGCACCTGCACAAGCCATCAACACCCATTGCGTGGACAGTGGCAGGGTACAGGTTAAGAGTTGAATAATTTCACTTACAGTCTTACCAAAAGGCTCTGTAGCAGCCTGGATTAAGTTGGAAATGACTTTATCACTAGTTATATGACCTTGGGGTCACACTTAACTGCTCCAACTCAAAATAAGATGGTTCAAATCCTTTCAGTTTTTTTTTTTAAGGTGAGAATCTGTTCACTGTAAGATAGTTTACAGCTATAAAACCATGATTCTGAAGTATATTAGAAAAAGCTAGAGAAGTCTTAAACTCCTTCCAATTAGGAATAGTTGAAGCTTTAATCAACAGTAAATCCCTTGCATGGGATCATTTTGTTGATTATTTAGGCAAGTGGTTAGAACAGTTATGTAGCAGAACTATTAGTGCACACAAACAGCTGTGTCTCCTGTGTAGTTAGGCTGAAGTTGTATCTAATTTCTGGCCAAGGCAATGCTCAGACCCTTCATGTCCACCCCCAGCTCCAGCCTGCACAGCAGACTCGGGTCAACACGTGGGCCGGATGGCCCAGTGGCCTTGATGAGGCCACCCGTCAGCCACTGTCATATCATGAATGAGGATTAAATTAAAACCTTTGTATCAAGCCATCTGATTGAGTTATCACCTGCAGCAGGGCCTAATTAATCTAATATTTCCTGCAAAACCAAGGGCTAGACAGGGCTGTCAGTCCACAAAAAGTCTAAAACAAGGATCCTGTCCTTGAGAAGTTTTAAGATTCTGACCTGAACTTTTCACTCTATACCAATGAAATGTCACTAAAGTATCATTAATGTTTCTCATTTGCCAAGCATTTTGTTTCTATATGTCATAGCAGGTACAAATCATTCTGAATTTTGAATGTCTGAACACTAAAGTGGCCCTCTACCATATCTTTATGTCTCACTGGCATTACAATATCTCTGGAACTCTCTGAAATCAGTTACTTGCAAATGCCAATAATTTAGAAGAAAAACTTAGTCAACATTTTTATGTGAATCAAATAATTTAATCAACAGTCCACTCTAGTGTACATCCAGCCCGAAAAAAAAAAAAAAACCACAATATTAAACTTACTATCTCTATCTAACATGGCCCAAGTCTTTGCAAATGCTTCTTCAATTACACAAGACATCATGTGAGGAGATATTATACTCCTTCACAGGTCAATTTTTTTTTTTTTTTGTAGAAAATGAAACATAAAACCCTGTCAAATATCTTTAGCTACAATGCACTTCCCATAAGAAATAACATAAAAACTTTCATTGGAAACTTAGTCATGCCACTTTCAAAATGAATATCTGTTCCTGAGGACAAGAATCAGTTCAAATTTTGCTAGTGGACCAAAGGTTTGAATAGCATTTGCTGTTCTTCACAACTTAGGCTTACATGGCCAGCGTTCCACTTGATTCCCAGTGGCACAGGGAGGCATCTTCATGTTCCAGTGACCAGAATGCAGGGTAACCCTGCTGTTCAGCAGGTCTTTTATAATTGCTTCTCAACAGATAGAAAACTTAATAAACATAGGAAGTGTACTTATCGTCCACAGCCCAGACTATAAATCCAATCTTGGAGTGAGCATGACTTACTTTAGGCAGTTTCTTTGAATACTTTTTTTCCTTCCAAGATTCATCCACTCATGTATACAAGAGCTGAGGTGCAGGCCAGAGTGCGGGGACGGGGGTGCTGGGGATGAGAGGATTTACGAGTGGTGAGCAGAACAGGCAGATCTACTGAAAAACACTGCTGAGGGGAGCAGTGGGGAAGACAGGAGAGGTCTGCTGTGCCATGTGGGTCAGCTCCCTGGCCTGGGATCGAAGTTGTGCTGCAGTGGTTGCCCATAGCTTCATCGTGCTGAGACTCAACAGCTTTTGATTATCAGGAAGGCCCAGTTTTATTTTTTCAACGAGGAATCGCTATAGGGCAGCCAGCTCTGGCAAGAGGTGGGCATGGAGATTCCAAGGTGCTGGCATCATGCACCATGGAATGTGGTTTCCACCAAAGCCATGTTACCACCCCCCTATGAACAACTCGGGTGAGATGAGAGGCCATAGGGGCACCCCCAATAGCATTCAGATGACAGCACAAGGAAGACCACCAGCTGTGGGCTGCCTGTGAATCTAAGCATTCCATACATTGCTCCTTGAACATTCAATTAATTTCTCCCTACAAGATAGAAAAGTTACAGAAATAAAATTCTTAAATTTTCTTTGCCATTTTTATGCTTTGAAAATTCAGAATGGATATTCAAACAACCTATGCAATATTTCAGATTTACAGGTTGACAAACAGAAAAATATTTTAGACCATCAGGAGGACTTTTCTTTAAGCTGTGTCACCACATTCCCATCACGGCTAAATTGAAGACTGGCGCACAGCTGGATTACTGGTACACAGCAAACACCTAGAAAGAGAACAGCATTACAGTTTTATGTGTGGAGTCAGGGGTTTTCCCGCGTAGTGGGATGTTTAGGGTGGCTGGCTTTCATTGTATATTCGAAATGTACAAAGCAAAACTGACAATATTAGGTAAAACAGCCAACTTCCAGCAGGTCTATGCAAACATCAAAATCACAATGAAACTGGCTTTCATTTTACTGTTTCTTTCACATAAGAAATTTTAAAGTTAAGTCTGGAGACTTTTTCTTTCCAATATGAGAATTCAACCAACTTTAAAATGGAAATTCATTTTTTTTTTTTTTAAAGCATTATGTTGTAGAACCTCACTGTCAAAGAAAGTGATAGAACTTCAGAGACTTACTCTAAAAAATTAGGTTAGTTTCTGGCAAAGTACAATCCTAAAAAACCCTGAAATAAAACTGATGAATGTATTATTGGCTATTTTTAAAATTTTGATTGCTTTCTTTTCATCATTATTATTTAGTAACAAAAAAAAATTGTCTTGTTTCTTTGGAATATGGCACTAGCTCTGAGATACTGTAACATTTCTATTTTAAACAGTAAAGAAGTGACCATGCTTCAAGCTGCAAGTGCTGAGCGACTAACTTGCATTCAAATGTCAGCTTTTGAGACTATAAATGCAGTTACTTTGACACCTAGCTTTGCTAATGCCTTATAAGCAACGATAATTTCATCAACCTTGGTTGCAGCCACACAACTCCACAGAGTTCTATGTTGCAAATGAGCGATAAAACCAGACAAGTTAAAATGGAACAGCCACAACAGAATGAGAATCTATGTTAAGTGCCTGCATTGCCAGAAAAGAAGGCAGACAGGCCTACACTACAGGAACAAGCCAAGACTGGGTCTGGGTGAGCTCTATGTACAGAGACAAACAGGGTTAGGCACTTAAAGCTTTATGGTGAAAATCCTGGAGAAGAGACTAGACCCACATTTATTCTTCTTATCAGTAATAATCACACACTGTTCATGAAGAAACATGCAATCAGTTATAAAAATAAAATGACACAAGGTTGTTCAGGGTTTCATAATATCTGGTTCATAAAATCTGACAGTTTCATATCATTAAGCTTTCTTACCAGTAATGACAAATACCTTGCCGTGAAATTATGAAGTGGATAGCAACTATATGAAGCCCCAAGTCACAGCTGGTATAGCTATTTCTACGCGGGTACCCATTACCATCCAAAATCTTTGTCTTCAAGCATCCAAGTATCTTTTAACAATTAATCTTAAGTTGCTTTATTCAAAGTAAATGCTCTTTACTTCTATTACCCTATAATCAGTAGTCCTCTGAAAAAGTATAATGTCCTACATATAAAATAAAAAATATAATGCTGTAAAAATCTCAAAAAATGCAACACTTAGTAATGTTAATTATCTGAAGAACTGAGCTTCATGAAACAGCTTTTGAGTATTTATTGCCCGCATGGGTTCAAAATCTCCTAAAGGTGGTGTGGCAACGGCTCCGGTACAGCTGTAAACGGAAGACCACTGAGAAAAAATTATTGGCATGAAACACTACAATTATGGATGTTTTTAAATCTTAAAGCCTCTTTAACATATCATGTATAATATCTATGTACAAAACATACAGAAATTTCACTTTATTTATTCAAAACATATGAAAGAGGTAATTCCAAATCACACTAAACATAATAAATATAGAACTCGCTTTGTTAAAAATCTACAGTATACATTCAAGGCTAAACTTTCAATGCCAACTATTATATATATGAGACAAAAATTAAACATTTACAATAATCAGTCTTCTAAAAGTGCTATTTTAATACCTATAAGAGGAAACTCAGTCTAGTGCTTTTGTTTCCATCCAAACATCTTATACATTCCTTTATTCACAGAACCAGATGCTTCTGTTACTAAAAATACATTTCCAAAGCTTTTATATCCTTTTAAATAGATTTAACATTTCGCTCTTTGGGGGAGGAACAGGGAAGTCCAAACAAATAACTCAGACAATCTTAAGTTATTAGATAACTGACTTTATGACACACCCTGTTTCAACTTAGACGTGAAATTTGATGAACATGTTGAGGAAAAACATCCAGCCTGCATGTTTAAGGTAAGTCATCTTTTTCGACATGAGAATTTGTATAGTTTAAGGAGCATCCGTTATAGCAACCTTCCTGTGATCCAGGTCTCGAAGCCACGCTCCATTTCTGATTTGTACATTCTCTTCCAACCTGATTTGGTTTTGTTTCCTCAGGGGTTATATTCAGCACACTGATTGAGCTGTTGGGAAAAACAACAGTAAAGCTTAAGGACCATCTCCTTGTATACCACTTTCCATATGCCTGAATGCCTGTAGTCCAAGTGTTCCTTGTTCCATTCTCAGTAAAATTTGAGGATACCATGATCAAGAATAAAAATGGCTTCATTGATCATTTCTACCTTATCTACTCTTTTGTCTACTCATCAATCTATTTGTTTGACTTATCTTTAGTCCACACTGAAGCAGGCTGCCCTACTGAAGCATAAATAAGACCAAGAACACAATATTTTGGTTCCTCTGCTCATCCATTTGCTCCCGGGCGCCCTCACCTATTCATTCACCCACGGAAGAGGGAAGCGTTCAGACTCATAGGCAGATGGTGTGTGGGTTCCTATCTCAGCTAAGCTACTTACAAGGTCTTTTTTGGCAAGATAAACCTCTATTAAGGTTTCTCACTTCTTAAACAGAAGCATCAACAGTTACTGTTATCAGTTAGTTCCTACAGGAACTAAATGAGTTCACAGGCATTAATTAAGCACATAAGACATTGATAAATTAATTGTATCAGTGGTGTCAATCCTGGCACTTGAACACAGACACAGCTCTGACCTTAGGATACAATTTGAGAAGTATACAGTTGACTTCACAACAAAGAATCTGGATAATTACTTTCAAATCTATGGGGATGAACTAAAGAATCTTTTAATCAAGTCAGTACTTAAGCATCTTTTCATTAACTTTTTCCCCAAAAATGTTTTTTTGTGACTGTGGTTTACTAACTCAAGCCTCATAATATGGCAATCCTAAAACATTTAAGGTGCTTTAATTCTAAATAGTTATTCAAAAACAATTAAGAATGTTACTTACATTTATCAACACTTAAAAAAAAAACTTGTTCATGATTTTACCCTCAGGTTCCCACTTCAGACAAAATGAGATCCATGACCAAGTTCCTCAAGTATAAAATGTAAATGCTGATAAAATGTATGTTCTATCTATACAGGTAGATCTGTCTGGTCAAATTTGGAGGTCTCAATAATATTCTATATAAGAAAGCACTGTGAGTTTACATTACCTTTTGATTGAAAATGAAGTTTTAACTTCCCACATTCAACCCACCAGTTGATCTACTGGTGCTACTGAATGCATGTCAACTCCAACAACGCCATTTGTTATGACCCTTGTCCTATCACCACCACCTCTTACCCCACCGCCCCTAACACCTCCTAACACAGCTCCTGGCTTATACCACTGGCTCCCACAATCTGTTTTCCATGTGCTGAATAGTAGACTTCTTGAATTTAGATTTATATTGGTTAAATTCTCCAACAATTTTTCATTGTGTTTAGAACAGTATCTAACTTACTAATACTGACTGAAATATTTTACACATGAAATCTCTTACATGCACACGTGTGGGACACACTTGAACAACCTGTCACAGGTCAGTAACTGCTAAATTTGAGTGAGGGGTACAAAGGGATCATGACCCTATTCTCTTTACATTTGTATTGAACTCGAAATATCATTAACAGTAATGATTTTAACTCTAATCTAGTCACTCAAGGATCTTAGCTTGCCAACTTCCACCCCACACCTCAGTGTTGCCGGCTGACTACACTGAGCACCCACAAACACTCCAGTGCACCACCTTGGGGTCTCCTACTCCTGCCAAGCTGTAGCTGCTCATCCATGGTCTTCTGTTTTCAGGGTGAGGGGAATCACACATGCCCCAACAGGCCCCTTCACCGTTTTCTACACCTATCTCACTGGGAATGTCCTATCTGCATCTGCTTATTTCAAATCTAATCTTAACACAGGTTCTGAGGTAAATATTGATATTATGTCTTGGAAAATGATGTAACAACTCAGGACAGAAAACAAAAAAAAAATCCCCAAAATAAAGCATTTTAAGGCAATACATAGGTTTCCTGGGGAGCAACAATTTCTACCCTATCATCTTTGGGTATCCATCCTCTAGCACTAACCAAAATAAGCAGGTCTCTCGGTTCTTGGCCCGCCAACACCAATAAAATGGGCACACCAAGAAAACCTCAAATATATTCTTTATGAAAATGCCCAACATTATCCGTCTATTTAAGAAAATTAATACTTAAAATATTAAGTAATGGCCCTCCCTGGTGGCACAGCGGGTTAAAGCATAGCACTGAGAATCTAACGCTGCTTCCTCATGAGTTCGATTCCCGCCTGCCCCGGAGGTGACCACATGGCGTGGCAGACCTCTCCTGACCCGCCCACTGCTCCCCTCAGCAGTGTACTTCGTCGATCTGCCTGTTCTGTTCCCCACTCTGTCTCTGGTGAAGCCTCTCACCGCCCCTGAGCCTCTGGCCTGTACCCCAGTTCTGTATGCACAAATAAATAAATCTTTAAAAAAAAAATATTAAGTAATATCTCTAAATAAGACTGTGTTTTAGATGTGAAATTAAAGGAATCCTGTATTATGCTATAGCTGTGAGAGGCAGGAATCAGTGTCCATACACAGTGAATACACAACAGATATTTATAGAAAGAATAAATCTACTAAATTCCTTGTGAAAGTCTCTAACAGTGCTAACATTACAGCAATCAAGTCTTCCTTAGCTGTGCAACTTTAGCAATTTTACAAATACGTGTGATCACCGATAAGCCAATACCTATGTTCAGAAACACAGGAGCGTGACTGGCAAAAGTCTGAAGTGGAAGGAGAAGCAGGAAGAGATTTAGCAAGTTTGGATGTGCAAGCTGGAGACCCATTAGATACACCATGAGGCTTCTTTTGTCGTGGCTTGGAGTGCACTGTAAGATTGTCGCAATCAGAACCTGTTTAAAGGTAAAAAGACAGTAGTTATCACCAAGAACTAAAAATAGTAAAGGTAATTAGGCAAGATGACTCATATGCAGTTCTGAAGCACAAGATGGAACAAGTTAGTCTGAGTAGCCATTCTACCCTGATGACTCTAGTTTAACTAATCTTTTAATGTTTATGCCTATCTGCATTCAGAAGGGCCTACTTTTAAAAATAAATCTAGGCCCTCCCAGGTGGCACAGCAGGTTAAAACACAGCACTAAGAAGCTAAAAAGCCACTTCAGCATGAGTTCGATCCCTGCCTTGGAGGTGACCCACATGGCACGGCAGACCTCTCCTGACCCGCCCGCTGCTCCCCTCAGCAGTATACTTCACTGATCTACCTGTTCTGCTCCCCACTCTGTCTCTGATGAATCCTCTCACCACCCCTGCACCTCTGGTCTGTACCCCAGTTCTGTATGCATAAATAAATCTTAAAAAAAAACAGACTGTGAATTTTCTGAAACTTAAAAAAAAAAAAGACTGTAAATTTTCTGAAACTTATTTAATACACACTCATAATAAGCTGCTTGTGGTATGCAGAGTCCCATCATTTTGATTTTTCTGCAGTAAACAAAGCCGACTTTGAGTCCTACTTGGAGAGCTCTCATATGTGATCACCAAAGCTTTAGTAACATAGTATTTTATTTACATGCATTTTAATATTAAGGGTTTCTGAGGTACTCACTTCCTGAGAAGGCACTGAAAAGTTTCACATTTTCTGAGTTCTGGTGGTCAAAGGTAGTCATATTTAAAAACTGTTGCTTTAACCAACTGGCTCTTTCTTCTTCAAATGCCTTTCTCTACAATAACAAGCAAACCAAAGAAACACTGATCAGTCATTGAACAATCACAGACAGCATTTCACATAATTTCTTTAGCTATCTGTGTTTGCTCTTTGGTTATCACATATATTTCTTAAGTGAAATGAATTAACGTAGAAAACAAAAATATTTCATTTAAGACAATTCAGTTTTAAAAATTTATCCATTTTACCTATACACCAACTATCCATTTTGAACTGCATAGCATAACTTTTAAAAACACAGGTTAGCATCGCTTTGAACACACCAAACATTATAAGTACAAACATTAGAAAAATATCGCATTGTAAGTGAATTATGTGGGAAGAAATGGAGGAATGGTGTCATCAAACATTGCTCTTACCCTTGAATCATCTGCCACGTGTATCTTCTCAATAAAAAATGAAAAAACAGCCATAGAAAAAAACTTGATGTAATCTTGAATATCCCTTTTGAACACATTATTTAACAAATACTATAAAGGAATAGCATCAATGTACATGAATTTCCCCTCCCCTAAACCACGAGGGCACATGGCCACCTTGCTTGCAGAAAGCCACCAAGTCCTAAACTGAAAGCGGGGGAGTGAAGGAGGACACGGGGGACTAGGTGGAGCCCGATGGGAGTGCTGGTGGTGGGAGCGAAGGTGACTACATCTGAGGGGGATCCTATCCTGCCACAAACACTAGCCAGGGTGTAAAACAAGGGAACTTCACTTAACAAGAGGAAGGAGGCCAGCCATGTCTCACTTTGTAGCTTTTACTACAGGAGAGTGGTTTTTTTTTTTAGACCACTTCAAACATGATCTCTAAAATTTTGAAAGTGAAGTAAGTAATTCACTGTGTTAAGTTAAAAAGGATATGTAGGCCCTCCCTGGTGGCGCAGCGGGTTAAAGCACAGCAATGAGAATCTGAAGCCACTTCCGCATGAGTTCGATTCCCGCCTGCCTCTTGCCCCGGAGGAGACCACATGGCGAGCCAGACCTCTCCTGACCTGCCCACTGCTTCCCTCAGCAGTGTACTTCCTCGATCTGCCTGTTCTGCTCCCCACTCTGTCTCTGGTGAAGCCTCTCACCACCCCTGAGCCTCTGGCCTGTACCCCAGTTCTGTATGAACAAATAAATCTTTAAAAAAAAAAGGATATGTAGGAGATGTATACAGTTAACTGTCAACACACGCATGCCTGGGTGAGGGACGCAGAGAAAGGGAGTACAATAACTTTTATTGTACTTCCCTTTAAATAAAAAAACACAAAAATCATTTTACTGACTGATAGTGGATAGGTGAGGTGTCCAAAAGAGACATATGTGCTGGGAAACCAAGCCAAGAGGGATACTATATGTGCACAGTGTCAGCAAGCAAACACACAACACCTTTAAATTCCCAAATCCAGTAAACACAAATGTGGGAGTACAACTTAGTAATTTCAAAAACTAAGACTCCCCCCCACCCCATGCCTAGCAGGCACACCTGGGAGGCCTGAACAGACATGAGAATTGATAAGGTACCTTGGGGACTAGGCCTTAAGATCCACCATCAAGACCAGAAAAACCGGTCCAGCTCCAGCAATGCAGAAGCAGTTTGACCTGTTTTATGTCAAAGGCCAGTGCCCAAGCCCAGACACCCCAGCAGGTAACTGGTCTAAACTATTGCCCCAAGTTAGAAAGCCCATGAAAACAGAGCCTCAAGCCTTCCTTTGGGTCCACACTTCTACCATCTTGCCTGCTGTTTAATAAATGCACCTTTTCTGCTCACCACAGAATCTTTGGTAAATTCTTTCATCCCTGCACCTCTGGCTTCACCCCGACACGTCTCCCCACTGCAGTGAATAGACATACCCTTCTATAACAGCTATGTGCTAAGGATCCCTTCCATAACTTGAGGTCATGGGTAAAAAGCTTTAGGAAAAAAACAGCAAAGAACCATGAAAAGCAGAACTTTCATGCATTTACTGAGTGCCCACAATTCTCTGAAGTGTGCTACAAAGAAAGCTAAATGTTTAAATACCTCCAATCCTAGGCGAATGGCAGCTTCTGTAAAGCTTCGTCTTTCTTTCTCAAAATTCTTTTTTTGTTCTTTAAATAGGGACCATTCTTCTTTGAGGCGCTCCTTTTCCTCCAATAAATAACAGTCTCGAAGCAGTGAAGTGGTATCATCATCACATGCAGTAGCAAGCTGCTGCTATTAAATTGTGAAACACAGTAAGTTCCAGAGGTCCCTGAAACTCCCACAAGTTGAAATACAAGAGAAGACAGGTCAGACTTAAAGGGGATGACAGAGGTAGCGAAGATTAGAAAGGCAAAGGCTTCCTATTTCCTAAGTGGTAAAGCATAGACTAGGGAATGATCAACAAGGCATCTGTTAGAAAGTGTCAAGTATTACACCTCTTATGAAGTAAATAAAAATCTAGTAAGATTCAGTAAAATTCTGATGCTTTACAGGGGAGAACAGCTTTAGAAGGTAACACACATACCTGCAAAAGTTGTTGCTGAGTTTTGATCATTTCCTTACACTGCTGAATTTCTAATTCAAGCTTTTCAGTTTCCTGCTCATGGTCTTGCCGTGAGATGACATCTTCATCATTAAAACCTTCAAGGTGTACCTTTGAAACTAAAAAAATCCAGTAATTTGACATAGGTTTTTATAGACATCACTAAGTTTATGACACCTGGGGCATAATTAAAATTCAAGGCTCTCTGAATTTCTCCTTGCTAGAATCTCATAATTTTCTAAAAAATAGGTAATGTTCTTCACCCTTAAAAAATTTCATGAGCTATAATAAAACTAAGTCTGTATTTTAGGGATCCCTGGCGGCCTAGGGGTTAAATCTTGAGGATGTCACCTCCACAGCCTGAGTTCAATCTCCAGCCAGGAAGCTGACCCACACAGGGCAGCAGACCTCTCCTGTGTCCTCGCCCCAGCTCCCCTCAGCAGTGTATTTTATGCCTGTTTTACTCCCCACTCCATCTCTGGTGAGTCCCCTGACAACCCCTGCACCTCTAGTCTTTACCACAGATCTTACATATAAAAGTGATACTTAAATAAGCAGAACAACTACAAGGGGTTCATAACAACTATGAATATACATACTTTTGGGCTAAATGTTATCCTTACACAGAGTTCCATTGCCAGCATTTAATTTGTAATCCACATTTATTCAAGTCTATAGTCTAATTAAAAAAGAACAACTTATATTTACAGAAGAGAAAATTAACATTCACATTTTGGTTCTTTCAAGGATCAATAAAGTACTGCAAATCTTGATCTCTGGCATAAAATTCAATAAGTAAGAAGCCCAAACAAACATGTTATTTACAATGAAAGACGATGCCAACTGAAATCAATAGATCTCACATGAATTAATTTGGATACTGTAATAATTTTGCTGATTGCCTGTAACCATACAGGCAATACAGCTGTCACTGAGGGTATTTCTGATAATTAAGAATAAATTTTCTTATAGGCTTCATTTAGTAGGCAGAAACCCTGACTTTCTTGATTTAAAAATGTGAATTTCAAGAAATATAAACTATTAAGGACTTATTCATCAATGTAGATCTACCAATCCTGTCTACAATGACAGGAGATAATGTCTAATACAACAGATTAAAAGCAGAAATACATGTGTAATAATTTTTGGGTTTATATAGCTTAATTAAGTATTCTGCAAATGCATAGTCTAGAAAGATAGACACCACGTGTTAAGTGTTACAGATATGCAACTAACACCTGGATATCCTGTCTCATAGTCCTAACTGGCGTTATGATTTCTCAAATAATTTTTTTTTTAAAGATTTATTTATTTATTCGTACAGAACTGGGGTACAGGCCAGAGATGTGGAGAGTGAGAGGATTCACCAGAGACAGAGTGGGGAGCAGAACAGGCAGATCGACGAAGTACACTGCTGAGGGGAGCAGCGGGCGGGTCAGGAGAGGTCTGCCACGCCATGTGGTCACCTCCGGTGCAGGCGGGGATCGAACTCAGGCGGAAGCGGCTTAAGCTTCTTTGTGCTGTGCTTTAACCCGCTGCGCCACCAGGGAGGGCCAGATTTCTCAAATAATTTTAAAATGAATTACTAGGAACCTAGGAATATGTAATTGTCTAAGAATAACAATCAGGTTCATATTTACATTACAGGATTTTTATTTCCAGGATTTAGTAAAAGACTGAGCTGCCTGATTCAATTCTTTATTGCACTCTGAGAAGTTGGATATACAAAGTCCTCTTGCCAGAGTTTCACTTTCAGTGTACTTTTTAAATGACGCTCAAACCTCCTATCTACAAGGAAGCAGAATCCTGCTTTCAAACCACCAAAAATGTGTCATAAAATGACCTTCCCAGTGACCAAAAATGCAAAGGGCTTAATGAACATTACAACTCATTCAGTAATCAGTTAGGCAGTATTTACCTTGGTTATCAAGTTTTTCTACATGGCTTTTCAAAATTCGCCACTGTTTTCTGATACTATTTGTAAGCTGTTCTCTCACAGTTTCGCAGGAAAGGTCCCATATACTCTCTCTATTCAGTTCCCCGCCATCTTCCTCGCCATCAGAGAGAACCTACAAGTGGTAAGGGGTGAAAAGGCAAGAACAGAGCCTGAGAGCCGCCCAACACCAAGGCAGCAGAAGTCACGCTGTCAGACACACGCTGTATATTAAGTATATGATCCAGATTTAACATAAATACCTTGAGGAAAAGCAATTAAGATGAAAAATAGAGATCCCTCAATTCTGTCTCTTCAAAGCAAAATTTGAACTGAAATGTAGTGAAAGAAATCCTGGAGTTGTGTGAGGGATGAGGAGTTCTAGACTACTTGTCTAGTATTGTGTTAGCTGTTAGTCCTCATGTTAGTCTTCAAATCATGTTACAATGTGGTTTCAGAAAGACTTAGAGACTACTTGTCCAATGCCACACTGAACTAGGAAGTTAGATTAAACTGACTTCCAAAAATACCTGCGAAATAATCTCCAAAGAAAGAGAAATTGTTCATCTGTTCATTTCTTATTTTTTTATACACCTAGAGATTATTTTTCTTGTATTTTACCAAGACATGAATTCATAGGAAAATACAGCAATGTTTCATTGACATAGGACAACAGCATCTAAGCAGGACTGAGAGCACGGAAGATAGAGATAGATACAGATCATAATAATACGCATCCACATAAAATGGTCCTAATTTGTTAGGAACCTAGAAAGAAAATAGATATATTTTACTAGTTTGAACAATAAATATCCTGCTGAAGGGGGAGAGGATGATAGACCACTCCCCTAACAGCTGTGGTGAGGGAGAGGGAGTGACTGGGTTTGCAGGCCTTATGGGTAGTATGAGGTCAAGGTCTCCTCCCAAGAGGAGTGGGTGGCAAAAGGCCCTGGGGGGCTCACTGTAACTTGTATTCTTTCTAATCCATCCTCTGGAGCTATCTGCGAGTAACTTCCAAGGAACTACTCCATCTCTTCTGTATAAAAGAATTCAGGCTTATGCCAGAATTCTACAAATAACATTATGTAAAAAAAATAACAACTGCTGCATATCTCCTGGGCTGGATCAAATATTGAAACCACAAAGTGAATATTTAAAATTCACTTAAATTGAATCAGATATATATTTTGGGTCAATTAAATAAGCAAGCAAAATAAATAAAACTTGGACGCTAACAAGGTTATATCTTGTTCCTCTTTTTATAATGCCCTAAAATCTGTCTTTAAAAGGGAAGAAAGGTTTACTTAAAAGTAAAAGGATCTAGAAAAATATGTTTTAAACAGTAAACACTGGCTAAATAATGGAGTGGGGTGACAAGAAGAAGGGAGAAGGGCTTTTAATCTTCTGAAAGAACTCCGTGATTTACTACATGCTTTTGCTGACTAAGAGTCGATAATGATGAGTTGGTAAAGGTTGGACCCAAAACTGAAGAAATTACAGGGGTAACAGGAACCTACTGAGTATTAGTAAGTTTCAAGAACTGACTAGAAGTGATAGACTGAGAGAAAAAGTGAACTAAATATAAAAGGTTAAGAAGACCCCAAACTGGAAAATTAAAAAAATCAACATTCAGTACAATTTAAAGAAAACAAAGGTGGGAGGGAGAATCTGTTGGACTGATTTGTGATATTGCAAAATAATTTTCAAGTACAAACTTTAAAAAACAAGTTCTGTTAATTTGCATTTTCCACCAACATTGTTATTTTCAGAGGTTAGTCACTAATGGAAGTTGCTTAAATCCAGAATTTAAATATTTGTAAAGTTAAAAGAACATGACTAGTTTTTTCAAACTTCTATACATATTATTTGCCATGTCAAATGCTTGTCCCATCTTTCTATCTCAAAAGCACCTTATTTTTAAAAAAGCCAGCTCAAATGTCACCTTCTGTGATATCTCCCTTGATCACTCTCTACTGTGTCTGCTAACAGAAAGAGGGTCCTCTCCTGACAAAGACCCTGCCAGCTCCCTCCCAAGGCCAGTGAGGGAAAAATTTCTGTTGTTTACAAGCCCCCCACCCCCCCACTCCGGGCCCCGTGGTATTTTGTTTCAGCAGTCCAACTTACAGGAAAAAGTCAAACTCTTCAGGCCTTTTTCTTTCAGAAGATTAGAATAATAAACATTCACAAGCTTATGAACTGAATGGTTATCTGGTTCACAAAGTTAAAAAAAAAGTTTCACTGAAAAGTGGAGTCTGCTTAAGTACACAATATTTAAACTTTTTAAACTATACACAACACAGGGATTAAAAGCATGAGCTTGGGAGACTTGGATTCACATCTTACTTCTGTCACATTTGATACTGGGGTAGTCACTGTACCTCAGTTTCCTCATCTATAAAACAGGAATACCACCGAAAGCATCAAATTATAAAAAAGAAATGAGATAATGCTTATAAAGTGCTTACAACAGATTAACTCTCTAGAAGATCATGTCCATTTCATAAGGCACATCCAGAAATACACAGGATCATTATTTTGGTTGTCATGACTGGGGTGTCATGTCCAAAGTAACAATGGTGTCTCCACTGAGGATACTTATCTAGTGTTTTAGTAGTTCTCTCTAGCAGTGAGACTGTATTAGAGAGGAAAGAGGCACTTACATTTCCTGTACTATCATCTGCTCTTTCTCTAGGTTTCTGCTTTTGAGGAGAAAGAAGAGAGATCATTTCTTTTTTCATTTGCTGAAGAACCTTCTTAAGTTCAGCATTTTCCAATAGGATTTGTTTCTGACGACATTCATAATCATTCAAGAGAAGTTTATACATTTCATCTTCATTCCTAAGAAAGAAAGTGTAGTATGAAAGTGCAGTACAAAAAGAAAGGTAATCACAGGCATGTCTTCACAGACTGGACCTCACTCACCTGGCTTCAGTTTTATCAGTCCGCCAGGATCCCCTCTTGCCATCTGCTCTCCCCACATAATTGAGAACTTCCATAGCTACAAACAGGAACAGAGCAAAACTGATTCTTACCACATTGTTAGGTATTTAAAACCCTAATACACTATATACATATCAGAGATAGACCTCAACTTGGCATACAGATTAAGAGCTGGGTTCAAACAGCCATATTTCAAGTCCAGTCCTAGTGCTTAAACACTGAGATCTTGGCAAGTTTTTACAACTAAGCCTGTTTCTCACCTATATAGGCTAATAACTACCTACCAAAGAGTGAAAGGAAGCATGTTAACAGACTTGAACACAGTAACTACTTAGCAAATGTTAACTTGTCATCACTGTTGCTTTTATCAACAGGGGTTGGCAAACCGAGGCTCGCAAGTGTGATCTGTAAGTAAACTTAAAACAGTCATACTATTTGTATGTTGTTTACAGTGACTTCTGCAGACAATGTCAGAGGTGAGTAATTGTGACAAAAGACTCTACTATTTCACAAACCTGAAAAACTCTGCCACATCCTGTATCATCAAGGGAGTGAAGGTGCCCTGACTAATGTCTCTTCTGACCCAGGAGGAGAAGGCAACAGTTGGCCCAAGAAGGAAATTAAGATGACAGCAAGTTATTACAATTTTAAGCTGATAAAATTATTATGAAACCATCATCTCCAAATGGGCTTGGACCAGGAAACCACCAGACCCCCTCCTCATCCACCCGCCCCGGCTCCCATCATAGACATCTTTATTTTAAGTGTTAAATCTTTAATGAACTTCTCTAACTAGGTGTCATATTTAATACTCTGCAGCACTTCATCCTGCTCTTTGTTATTTCCTTTAGGAATGAACACATGGTTAGAGCCTTAAATTCAATCAATGCCCAACTAAAGTTTATAATTTTTTGACCTCAGAATACCTAACTATTGCTAACTTTGTCTTAATTATTTATTACTACACTTGCATTTTTCAACAATTAAAAAACCCAAAATTTAATGACTAACAGTTTTGCTATACAGAAAGGCAATGTTGCAGTCAACACAGAACAGCTTGTTGGTAGCAAGCAGAGCTCACCATGTGACAGCTTGAAACATCTGCTCATCAGCTGCTATGTACAAGTTCAGTTTCAGAGAGACAGTTTATAGGTCTCTTGCTTTAAAGTAGGCTAGAGACAGCCTGTTATCCAGTCCACTCAGAAACCACTCTTTAATAGATACATGCGAAGATTTTTCCTGTTCCCTGAACGTTATCAGGCCAGTATGTAGTTTTATGTCTACCTATGCTGTTTATTTGAAATCATGCACATATATTTGGATGAAATAAGCTGTAAATTAATTTTCAAGAGTATTAGAAAAAAGTATACCTTAGGCACAAATGTAAGCATCATTTTCACAGTCCATCCTTTTGATTAGCTGCTTTTAAAATGCACAGTTAGGGGCCTCCCTGTTAGCACAGGGCTGAAAGACAGCACCACCAAGCTATCGCCAGCCACTGCAGCACACGAGTTCCATCTCCAGCTGGCCAGGGAGCTGGCCCACATGGCACAGCAAGCCCCTCCTGACCTACCCACTGCTCCCCTCAGCA